TGCCTCTTCGTGCAAAACAAATGCACAAAGACAACACTTTCTAAGTCATACTTCACCGTTTTCTGTTGTGGGGCATTAAATGCCCTCAGCGGCGCACGATGTGGAGCGGATATTCAAAATTGCACAAACTAATAAAATTTCTTCTTAGCAAAAAATTGCATGCCAAACTTGGGTATACGTTGTCCTCCAAAGGAGGCTATTACATGTGTTAACAAAAAAAAGTAAAAAGCTAGGACAGGTAACGCCATCTAGCGGTCTGTCGGACCCTTTCTTGCTGGGCCGTGAAAAGGCTCCAGTGGCCACACTTTATATAGTATGTTTCTCTATGGTTAGAGCACTTTATTTGGAACGCTGTCAAGCCTTCAAAACGTAACGTTACTTCAGCTGGATCGCGTCAGATTGCATGCGGCGGTGGCCGAAATGAAAGCCAAGCAACCGAATTGGCGTCCGCCACCCCTTTTTCTTACTATAGATTTGTGGAATGGAGTGGGTGGAAGGCGTGTCACGCACGTAGACATCGTCATGCGCACGCCCTGCTCTAAGAGCACCGTTTAACAATCACGAATCCAGTACAGCATGTCTGTAAATGTTAGCGCCGATTTAAAGACTTAAATATTAATTACATCTATCGCGACAACGTTTGTTATTACTGGTCCACTAGTAAACCAGTGACGCGTCTGTAGTGTGTGGCTTCGTGCGATCAAGAGATTGGCCCATTTTGCCGCCCCGACGGCGATGTAGTCAGATATGTAATGTAATGGCGATGTAATGTAATGTAATGATATGTAATGTAATGTATGTAATGTATTCCATTACATACATTGCGAGATATGTAATGTAATGGCGATGTAATCAGAAATAAATAAATAAAAATATGTATACATAGACATATCCAGTGAATTATGCCGATTCCAGTGCCGCGGTGGCTGCCGATCCGAAGGTTCGGGGTTCGATCACAGCGGCAGCGGGCAGGTTAAATGCTACTGTGCCATGTCAGTACACGCTGAAGAAACCCCAGGTGGCCAAAATTTCAGGAGCCCTCCACACTACGGCGAGCCCGATCATATCGTGGTTTTGGCCCGCAACACGATAGGTATTTTTCCCGCTTTATTATTTTTTTTAGCATGACGGCGCTTCCCCTCATTTGAATTAGAGAGTGGGCGATTTTTTTTTTTAAAACCTTCCCCAAAATACGTCGGTGGGAACAGAAGGTCCCATTTCATAGTCCCAGAGAATCAACTGACATTAACGTCTCGTGTTTTTTTTTTCCTTTTTTTTTGTGGCACGTGACACTGCATACGAAACAGCTTTTCCATATGTTGTGACATTGCAACAACGCATCGCAGATGTCACTCGTACATACGGTTGCACCAGACATCGCAAAATGTGCAAGTGATTGAATGCCGGCTTGGTATTTTGCGTGTTCCCTGCAGATTGCTCACTGCAGATGTTACAGTGACTAAGATGTCAAAGCGTATCGCCTGTATTCAATGTTTGTGCACGCTTCAAACCCCAATTAGAAAAGTCATGCCTCCTCATTATATGAACCGTACATGCCACACATGCACATTTCGTACAACGCGTGCATCATTCACTGCGTCGAACGAAGAGTTACACAGTTCTGTTATCAGTGTAAACATTTATGGGGCACTGCACGTACTACGTTCAAGCCGTACCGTTATCTCTAGAGCGATTAAAAAGGAACAATGGTGCCCTTTCGACGCTTCGGCAGAGAGAGAATCTTATCTCAAAAAACTTGAACAACCAGGAACAACAAACACTGTGGAGTGGGCCAGCAAACAGACCCGACCGCAAACGAGAGGGGGCGTGCACAACGAGCCGTGAGAGCAGTTATCTGTTAAGGATGACTGTAATCCTGACGCAGCACTGTTGGCGGTACTCGACCGTGTGAGTGCGCGGTTATCTAAACGTGTGTGTACATGCTCTTCACCGGTCATTACCAGAATAGGCACTGCGCCGTGTCGCCTGTAGGCAGACAGAAATTAGGTGCCTTAGTCCTTTTCCTCATGAGCCACTAACAACAACAACAACCAGAACGTGTTCGAACACGCTTCCTGCACGATCCAATCAAATCGCGCCAGAAGCGAAGATATATAGCATCGAGTCGAACGCTTTTCGAACAATGATAAATCACTCGTGTACAGTCCACGTCCTAGTGTTGTTACGCGATACCGTTAGCTGAAGGGCAAAATCTTTAGAAAGCCTACGCTCTAACGAAGGAAAATTTGTGTTATTTTTTGTAGATCGTAATATTAATGAGAACAAAACGTCTGTTCTCGTTAATATTACGCTCTAACGAGACACTCGTGCGACCTTTCCAGTCTTGCGCATTTGTTACTGCCCACGGTTCCCATTGACGTCTAAGACATCATCAAATGGTTCCACATGCTGGTACTAGATGACGGTAATAACTGCTGGCGTTTAACGTTCCAAAACGACGACGTGAATATAAGGAACGCCGCTGTGCGGGCTCCGGAAATTTCGACCAGGCGGGGGTTCTTTAACGTGCGCCTGAATCTAAGTGTACACGGGTTTCAAGCATTTTAGCCTACATGGAGAATTCGGTCGCCGCGGTCGTGATTCGATGCCGCGACCTGCGGGGTAGACGCTGATAGATGGTCACCGAGGTGTCAATTCACATTTGATTCTGTAACACACCGTCCAGTGACATTGAATTCACCTTATGCGGCATTCGTCGCCCCTGAACACTTGGCAGACACTTCCTACATCAAAGTAATAATAAGGCATGCCATCCACCAGCGGCCTAGCCAGAATTTTTAGGGGAGGGAGGGGTTGACCCGGGGGTGGGGCTTTTCCATTGCGAATAAGCACGCTAGGCTAGCACACCGCTTTGAAATCACGGCGGGGAAATGGAGGCAGCACGCCACGAGAGGTAATTACCCAAACCTCGTTTAATTAGTTAATATGTGTATTTTAAAATCTCTCGCGCAAGTAAACGTCCGCTACACATAGTATAATCGAGCTCGCGGCCAGCAAAGCGCGGTTACGGGGTATACAGGAGGCAAAAAAAAGCTTCGCAATGCGCAGCTTTGCGCGTGCATGCATGAAAATATATAGTGGGCAATGAGAGACGCCGACGCAGGATTCCGCTCGACTGAGCGCCGCATTTGGATCCGACCCGCCTGCATGCACAGCGCACACACACACACAAGCACGGTCACTGCCTGAACAGCTGCAAAGTCGATCGCGCCACCGGCGTCGTTCCTGGTGTTGGTAAGCAGCGGTGGCCGCTTCGGGTTCTGTTGAATGAATGGCACTCGCACCCGAAACGCTACGAAGGAACTCTCTGAGCGATGGTTAAGACTACCAAGGCCGGAAAAACCAGGACCATTCATATAACAAAACTGCCATTGTGTCGTTAATGAGTGAATTTATCGATATTAAGACGGGTTTTGCGAGCCAGAACCAAGACAAGATTGAGAGGCACACCGTAGTGGAGAGCTCCGGAAACTTCGATGCCTCCATCTGGTGTGGTCTTCAACGCGCTCTTAACACGAGCCTCTCGCATACCACCACCTATACCGAAATGAGATCGCCAGAACCGAACCGACGACCTCCGCGTCAGCATCCGAGGGCCGTAATAGGCAACACCGAAGCGGACGTTAATCCAGTGAAGTTAGAAGGTGGTACTCTCTCAGACGGCGGTCGTAGCGAGCGTGCGTCTCTAAAGGCCGTACTATGCGGTAACAAAAGAAGCGAGCCACACAACCACTTCCATCTAACTGGGATGCAGCGATCAAAGAAAAAAAAAGAAAAGCAGATAGCCTAACATGAGGAAAAGGCGGAACGCGCAAAACCCGTAGAACGTATACACACACACACAAAACAAGAAAAAAGCAACGAAGTTAAAACGTACAAGGAATCTGTGCATCGTTCGAGCGCGTACCTAAGGAGGTCACCGATTCCTCTCAGGCACGTTGGCAAACTCCGGAGAGAGAGAGAGGAACGCCGAGACAAGGGGGGAGATCGACCGAGCTACTTAGGGTTAAGCGGGTAAGAGGATACGTCCACTTGACGCGAATTGAGAGACGGCCCACCGTACTCGAACCACGACGCGGCCCCACGGCCTTAAACCACGTTCGGCGCCGCCCGCCCGCGACTTACGTAACCTGGATGTGTACCGAAGCGAGCGGGTTTCGCCGCGGCACCCCGCCGCGAGAGAAGGGCCGTGCATGGGAAACCGGCGGTTTTGAAGTTTTTAAAAACGGAGCCAGGGCTCCTGCGCGCCGTGCCGAAAAAATAGCGGAACTCCAAACCCACCCCTTCCACCTTTTGGTTTTTTAATTTCCCGATTTGTTCCACGGGAATAAACATGCACGCTTTGCACATACCGCGGAGGGCGGGTGCCTTGCTGTGTCGCGAGAGATGGGTTAGCTCGGAGCTCTCCAACCTTCTTTGACCGCGACGCCGGATGCGGCGGCAGCGTTTCATTCCAAGCACCGCCAATCCTACCCTCTTAGCGCAGCGCGAGTCCCGCTTTAGATTAGGATTCGAGGCGCGTATGAATCGCACGGCTCGTTTTTTTTTGTATGAATGGCGCGAGTTGTACCGACTTGTATCTTCCGTTCTTGCGGGGGGACGGTAGCGGAACACACGTCGCGTACTCTGACATCGTTTGTTCTGCGCGTCGTCAAAAATCGAACCCGAAGTGAGCACAGTTTCGGGTACAGCGGAGATCCGCGCGGTCTCTCTCAAAAGGCGCCCTGTGCAAGGACGCATCGTTTTGGTTGCACGCGTCGACGATCACGGAAGCGGGGCGGGCGGGGGAGAAGGGGGTGTTCTCTCGGCCCGCTAAGTTTTACGATTGCCCCTTTTACGTTCGTGTTGTTTGTTTGTTTGGTTTATGTTTTGGTTTCCGTAGGCAGGGCACCCCCCCAGAAACCGGCATTAGGCCTAGGCGGCTGCACTGCCGAGACACGGGCGCGAATGAATGGGAAAGGTCACCGAAACGGGCTTACCTCCGCTCTCCAAGGTTTTGTTGTAAAAATCCCGGATTTCGCCGAGCAAGTGGTACATTTTGGCGGGGCGACACTGGACAGCCGACGCACAGTCCACAGTGTCAGAGGTGGATCTCGGCTGAGACCGGCTGCCACTTCACGAGTTGCGGGTCACGTGACCGAGCGGCGGCGGCGCCACCTGGATACGGTTGGGAGAAACAGAAGACAGACTCGTTGCAGCAGACGACACCTGAACGGAGGCCGGCAAAAAGAGAGGAGGGAGGGCGAGCCTCGCCGGCTAGCGCTACCGCCCCGTATTTATTTTTCTTATCTCTATTATTATTATTCTTCTTTTTGGCGTTTTCGTCTTTCTCTTTTGCTGCTCAAACAGCGCAGACAGGCCGCCGCCGCCGGCAGCGCCGAGTGCTCAAAACGTGCACGCACCTGGCCTCCTGTGTGCTGGCGGCACGGCGAACGACGGTTGGGACACGAAAATCAATTCGGTGCCGGCAACTGACGACAACGCGTTGTCGACCAATATGAATCATCCTAATTCAGTTACAAATCGATCAAGAGAGAGCGTTGCCGCGTCGTGTTTGTGTCTATCTGTGCGCGACACGGGGAAACAACAAAAGACGACAAAAAAAAAAAAGCAAAGCGTGGTTCGCATTTGTTTGTTATTTTTTTCCCCTGGCGCGTTCTTTGCATTGCTTGTCGCGCGCGTCGTTTTCTTAGCGGTATCTGCAGTCATTACCGCTATTGCCTTGAACAATAAAACAAAAACAAAAAAAAAACAATGGCACTTCGGCAGATGTGTCGTTGGGATTCGCTTGGAGAAAAGCGTGACAGACGCTGCCTTGTTGAGGTAGCTGTAGTAAGGAACCTATTAAACGGAGCGGCGACGAGGAAATACTCGGCGTAACGAGGGTGTGTGAATGCGGTGGTAGATACTTTAGGAAGGCACTTTTTCCCCCAGAAGAAAAGAGATAGCTCCTAACGGTGTTAATGCGTTTGCACGCGACGCGTGAAACGATGACCCTTTCGCTTCTTTTTTTTTTTTTTAACGCAGTCTCTCCCCTAGCAGGGACACTTCCTTATCTTTCTCCCGTGCCTGAGGTGAAGACATCTTTCAAATGCGATTGTGGGCTATCGTACGCGGCACAATTTGAGTGCTCGATGCTGACGTCCGCTTGTGCAGCCGTCGAATTTCAGCTGCGTTTGCCAACTGCGCGATGTACAGTATGGTACGATACTAAATGGAACGCTCCAGCGTGCCTGTCATGTTGCTGGTGGCGAGACTGCGAGTGGAAACTGTGTCCGTACACTAATATGTGTCGAAGATTGGTTAGAACTGCCGAAAAAATTAAGTTTTGTGATGCAGTCAGACGCGACTGCACTCTTGTGAGCACATGCCAATCACGTACCGTGATGTACCATTTAAGACGGTTACTCCGGTTTGTTTAATTCATTGAAAGCAGTGGTTACAATCGTGATACAGGTTCTGGTCTGATGTCATGGCATGCAAAAGTAACTATTTGAGTTGAATATAGGTTCTCAAACTAGAATACTCCCATTTGTGTTTAACCCCCTATAACCTAAGTCTCAATGTGATAGGGCTGTGTGTTTAATGGGATGCGTAAAGGTGCAAATCGTTGCCTAAACAAACCGCCAAACTGAAATCAACACAAGACGCCGTTTCAAATTAAGTGGCACACGTAAACACATAAAAGAGGATAATAAGTTGTCACTTCGACACGAGAAAACAACTTAACAGCAACAACGAAAAAAAAAAACCAAAACCTTTTTCTATGGAAAAGCATGCTTTATACTATATGCATATGGCATGCCAGGTTCAATGCATCAGCACGTTCAATTTACGGAACCTCTCACGTAGGGAGACATAATCGTATATCAGACGAAAGATACGCTATGTTCTGTGTATTATTTTCTTCATATGTTGAGAAGATATTGATTGTGGAGATCACAATCACTTACAAGAGGCGCCGACTACTAAATTATTTACGCGCGTGTTGCTGCATATATTGCAGGAAGATAAGGAAATAAAAAAAAAAGCCTTGAAATCAAAATAATTTTTCAAGCTAACAAGTTTTGTTATGCTTCACGTCTGAATAGCTTTATTTTGTTTACACTGAGGAATTAGTATGTAACTAGTCTTGGCTGAGAATCCACGCATCGTATACCTTTTTTATATACACAATGCAGTTATAATTAAGTACTAATTAGGTTATTCCTATAACTGAGCGTATTGACTCCCATTCATCTCACCAACAGAAGTAAAAGTAAGCTTTATTTTGTTTAGACTGAAGTATGTAACTAATCTTGGCTGAGAATCCACGCATCGTATACCTTTTTTATATACACAATGCAGTTATAATTAGGTTATTTCTATAACTGAGCGTATTGACTCCCATTCATCTCACCAACAGAAGTAAAAGTAAGCTTTATTTTGTTTAGACTGAAGTATGTAACTAATCTTAGCTGAAAATTCACGCATAGTATACCTTTTTTATATAAACAATACAGTTGTAACTAATTATTAATTAGGTTGTTTCTATAACTGAGCATATTGACTCCCATTGATCTCACCAACAGAAGTAATAGTCGTCAACAATCTCACCAACAGAAGTAATGGAAGTAATATCGCGCGGGGTGATGTTTGTTTCGCGTTTCGTCGTGGCGAACTCGGATCCCAGTCTAAAGAAGCGCTGGTACGGCGAAATCTCGCTGTACGAAAGATAACGCATTCGAGTACCGCCTCATAATACGATCGCTCTTCTCTTACTACTTTTTTTTTTCTCTCGTATTTTTCTTGCTACCTTATCCCGCTTCCTCATATCAGCGTGAGTATGGTATCACAAAGTATGGCGTTTGAAAGACACTGATGTAAAAAAAAAGAAAGAAAGATCTTTCATAGAGTGTTTGAGGACGGCTTGAAGAAAAACAAGCCGTCTTATTTTGCTTCTTGTTTGATTCAGTCAAGTATGCTGATCCAACCTCCCCCTACACCGTAAACCAGTTTGCACCTTTAAGGGTGTCTACTGTGTCTATAACACCCTACGATAAGGGTGCTTTGTCAAACTAAAACACCCTTCTGGGTGTTTTGCTTTGTCAAAACATTTTTATTGTAGGGTGTTTTTTTTTAGACATGCAAAGCACCTTTAAGGGTGCAAAACTGGTTTGCTGTGTACTCAGAGCTCCTGCGCCTTGTGCAGCTTTGCAGAGCCTCGAAGATCGGAGGCATCGAAATATTCCCACGCCTTCCGGAGTTCCGTATCAGTGCCTTCGAGATCGGCTCGCGCTTTACCGACACGACATGACGCCGCACAGTGACGAGATTCCGTCATTGTGCGACGTCATGCTACAACGATGCCATGTCGACGCGGTGATGATGACACAACATTTTCGAAATCTGCAACTTTCAGCGAGCCGTAATCTCTGATCGCGTGACTTTTCGCGTCGTTTGTGTGGACGCCATCGGTCAATTTTTAGCATTTGACGAGGCATCGTCTAGATATTATTATTATTATTATTATTATTATTATTATTATTATTATTATTATTATTATTATTATTATTATTATTATTATTATTATTATTATTAAAGGCAGTGATCCACAATGCGCTTGTGATTTAGTGCGGACAATGTTACAGCGCTGTGCGAACGTTGCCGGCGCAATAACTCAGTTTCGACCGGTACAACAATGCTTACAAAACGATGCAGGTTTTACCGGGTACAGGTCCTTGGCCTGCACTATGATATATCGAAAGAAATAGCTGCGCGCACAGAACAATGCGCCAACACAGCTTCGCTGGTTGCAACGCAACGTTACGCCGTCTTTTGTTGTCAGAAAGAATAAACAAAAAAAGAATTTTAGCAATGATGTTAACAATAGCTTAATTTTTATTCGAGAAGCAATAAATTCAGCTAGGAAGTGTGGCTGGTGTAAAGTGTTTGTACAATTTTGAAAAGCAAAAGTAGCAGTATTGTTGTAGGCCCGTGTGCTCAGATTTGGGTGCACGTTAAAGAACCCCAGGTGGTCGAAATTTCCGGAGCCCTCCACTACGGCGTCTCTCATAATCATATCGTGGTTTTGGGACGTTATACCCCACATAGCAATCAATCAGAAATAGCAGTATACATGCGTTAGAAAACGCTTTTTTTTTATAGGACAGTATCTCGTATCCCTCATTTCATTTCAGCGTCAATGGAATTCCTGCTTTGAGCTGCCAGACGACGATGACAGTCTGTCAAGTCGTTCAGTCGTTCGAGATCGCGACCCTATGCGTAAACAGGTATATACGACATTTCGTTTTTTTTTTCTAATTGTCATCATTGTCACTCACCGTGTGCCCTTTTGCGTTCTTTCCTTCACAAATGAAAAGAAGAAACGATCATTGTTAACGCTATCTGTTACTGACGCTATCATTTCTTCAATATACCGCTCTGTTTCTCTGTAATGTATGGGGAAGTGGGTGTGTGACGAAATAGTGATCATTAAGTGAGTATAAAATCATCAATATCATCGTCACAATACTCCCGCGAAACTTCTTCCAAAGCTGCATGAGCCAAGCTTGTCATCCTTTGCTACTCAGCACGCGTATAGATTTAACCCAGTTAATCAGTCATTTTTAATCGATTAGTTTGATGATGATGATGATGCTCCTAATATCGTTGGTACCTACCCACTCTGGGGGATTTGTCATGGGTCGGGCGGATCACAGATACTGAGTTTATGATTTATATTTAGTAAGATCTAAAATAATTTTAAATGATTTTTAATGTAACATTAAATATGGATAATTGTAATTTTAAGTCGCACTCATTCTGTGTAATACGCCAGAGATTCAAGATCTTTCGGCTCGGAAGGCCGAATGAAGAATTGTTAGCAGTTGATACACCTACCAAATCTATTGCGTTTACACGTTTAGGGTGCAGGGGAAGATGTGGCTGCAGGGAACTCTTTGAAGATAGGCTAGCACGAGCTCGCCACCACGTGGTAATAGTAACTGTTGGAGTTTCTCGTTCCAAAAACCACAGTGTGATTATGAGCTACGCCGTAAAGGAAAGCCCCGGAAATTTCGGCCGCTCGGAGTTCTAAATCTGAGCACACGGGCCTATAGCATTTCGTTTCAATTGAAATGCGGTCTCCACGGCGGGGATTCGACCCCGTGACGTTC